CCCTTTCCCAGATATGCATAACTAGCTTGCAGGTAAGACTGTTACGAGATAGCTGTGGGCGTCTTTCCTATTACAACTATGACATTCTATAGGTGATAACCACCATAAAGCGGTCACCACGATGACGGTAGCCGTTGTCACTCACCTCGACTACATATTGTAGCAGCGGTTGTCATCACCTGTCAAACTGCAATCACCGCCCAATTTGATAGAGCACTCCCGACTCCTACCCTTGATTGTACCCCCTCGACCACTCCCTCCATTACCCGAAACAATGAGCTGTCGCTCACCTCGACTACTTAGCGTAACTGCTATTCGCGTCGCAGATTATGAGGCCTCACATATGCACACCAACGTAATACAATGGCCAACGACGGCGCCCCATACTCATGACTCCACGCGTTGATAATGCGCCCGCGATGAATTTACGAAAACACCATTGGCAAATTGCATTTTCTTCATTGGCATCACTGATACAAGCTTAATTGGTGGTCGCTCCATTTTTCATGTTCTTAAGGTCCACTTCACGGGACAAGGATTCTGAAACGAAAGATGAGCAAGCAATTAATCTTCGGGAACAGCATTTAAGCGTTTGGATGTAATAGATTTTTATTTGTTTGCTTACCTAGTGGTTCATAATTCCCATTACCGGGATGAGGAATAAATGTATAGTTGTTGCGGATTGCCATGGGTTCATTGATTCAGCATTTGAGGTCTTCGAGTTACAATCACACGAATTCCTCGTCATCACGGCATGCTCCGGGCACGCGCCTCTTCAAACGCCCGTTGGCGTTCTCCAGATTGTTGTTGGTCACATTCTCAAAGTGTACCAACCCACAAGTGCATGAATGGCCCACTTTCGAGTGATGAGGAGCCAGTGGGCAGTCAAATAAGAGACAAAACTGGGATCTCTTCTCCTCAGGATTTGCAAACCGTGGCGAAATCTACGCGATTATTGTTTGGTGCAGTTACTAAATCAGCTGTATTATCAAAGCGAGCCACGCGGTGGAATATGTGCCGACTGCAAAAGTCTGCAAAAGTTACACCAAAGCAATGAAACGTACGTGCTTCCGGATGGCTCGCTGTGCGTGAAAATAACACAGCATTATATCGCAGCCGAATACAGCTTTGGCCGACCGCAACTGCGAAGTCATCTTGTCCATGACGAACGTTTTCACTGCATATTTTATACCCACCATATCCTTGACAAAGGCATACATTACGAGTCGACCGATACTCATGCCATCCGTCACAAAGAATGTATAAGGCTTGCACCTTAACAGCGAACGTCAGGGGCTCCAAATTTATTTACCCAAGATGGTTAGTACCATGTGTAGCATCAACGTTTACAACGTCCGGGAAACATCTAAAGAGCGTCATCTGCTGCGTTCGAGAAAAGCACAGGTGACTATATCTGCCACCCTCCGATTCCACCAGCAGCACGCGACCGCACTCTCGAAACTTGGCTATGATGGATGACATGTCATCTAGGAAACCGACTAAAAGGTAACCAACGACCTACTTAACAATGGGGGTCGATATTTGACGCGATAGTTACGCACATCCTTGATAGTTGG